GAATCCTAGTTATGAATGAAAGATTCCTGCAATCACACTTTATTAACATATAACATGTAATGTATACCTGTGCGCAGTATCAGCCATCGACCTTTCTAAAAGTGAAAAAGTTGTCTTTTAATTAAACGTAAAAAAAAAAAAAGTGACACCAAGATTTTTACTGCAGCTGTTTATCTATTCCATATATTGATTATTGGTCTGATTAATTACTGCTCATGCTATCCCGCTATCCCCACCCCAACCAGTCGAGGCAGATGGCCACCTTCCCTGAGCCTAGATCTGTCAGGTTGTTTCTTCCCCTTTAAAGGGGGAGTTTTTTGGTTCCTTTTCCACTGTCGCTGACTGCTTTCTGAAAGGGAATCCAAAGAAAACTTTGGGTTGTTGGATTCTCTATTCCAAAATTTAGGTCTTCACCTTACTAAGTGAAGTGCTATGAGATGACATATGTTGTGAATTGGCGCTGTATAAATAAAAATAAAAAAAAATGAATCCAATTCGGACGAGGAAAAAATGGATTGAACGACCCCCTACTCTACATTGCACAGACCAGTACTTAAAACATTGTAGTCTGATACTGCATCAGCATACAAATGTACACACAAAACAGTAACACAAAAAAAGTAACACATGAGCTGCGATACTTAATAGCCAAGTTGCACGTGTCCAGATCAATCATGTCATATGCATTTCTGAAAGGAGATAAAGTAAACTCTAATCAAATTAATTGAACTACCACTTTTTAAACACCCTTAGCATTCTGACACTTTTTTTTTTCAGTCAAGTTTTAGTCATTTGATTGCTAACATAGTATTTATTGTAACATTAGGGAAATAAACCAAGTAAGTGATGTTGAATTGCTAACAGTCGTACCAAATGTTTCTGGGTTTACCATTACTACACTTCTGGCCAATTGGTACCAGCACCAATCTTGGGTACTCATCCTACATCTGGCATGGACTGAGTTTCAGCTTTTGAACTGTAAATGCAGGTGCAAAGCCTAAGCTAACTAACACGTTTGTCTTTGTTGAGGTGTCTCAGGGGGAGAGCTCAGTCAAGCCTGCAGCTGAGGATATGACATCAAAGGACTATTACTTTGACTCATACGCCCACTTTGGAATCCACGAGGTAATTTCTTTTCAGCGAATAAAAAAATGAAAGAAAAAAAGGAAACACAATAAATTGGCCTTTATGTGTCACAAAGTGTGCAATCATTGTTTTTTTTTTTGTTTGTTTTTTTTTTTACTGCCACTGTAGGAGATGCTGAAAGATGAGGTTCGCACTCTGACCTACCGCAATTCCATGTTTCACAACAAGCATCTGTTTAAGGACAAGGTGGTGTTAGATGTGGGCAGTGGGACAGGCATCCTCTGCATGTTTGCTGCCAAAGCCGGAGCCAAGAAGGTTATAGGGGTATGTGGTTGGTTTTATCAGAAAAAGTCCATTTGTTTTTATTTTCTAGCTGTAGTAATTGCATCACTTGCTGGTGGGGAGGCTTTTGGCAAATGGTAATGGCCTTGGTAGTGGTAACATAAAGGTGAATTAAGAGATTGTTTTGCTTCGTCTCAACAGATCGAGTGCAGCAGCATCTCAGACTACGCTGTAAAAATTGTCAAGGCCAACAACTTGGATGATGGTGAGTAAATAGAATCCAGTAATTTAGGGTCTCTGGGTCAGGATCAGGAAATAAAGTTGTGATCTTTTTTTTTTTTTTTTCTGTCTCCCCAGTTGTCACCATTATTAAGGGGAAGGTGGAGGAGGTGGAGCTGCCTGTGGATGGAGTAGACATCATCATATCAGAATGGATGGGCTACTGCCTCTTCTACGAGTCCATGCTCAATACAGTCATTTACGCCAGGGACAAGTGGCTGGTATGTGTGTCTTCTCTGTGGGAGGAGTTGCTTATTCTTTTAACCCCTTTCAGACATCAACTCTTCCGTTAATCTGACGACTACTAAACAGATCGTCTGCATGTGTAAACGCCCACCCTGGTCGCTTAGCTATGAAAGTTGCGCAACAGACAGCAGCAGCATCCATGCGTGCACACATTTGCACACCAAAAAACACATTTTTCTAACCATAAATTATTGCTGAGTCCGGACCAGGATCCAACAGCAGGTCACACTGTGTCATCCTACATTTCTTCACATCAGAGCGATGAGCTGTCACACTTAGAAGAGCAGTTTAGTTTGAAGCTGTTTAGGACTATTTCTTCGTAGTTTATTACAAGCCTGTTGACAGTGGTAGGATCCACAAGTTTCTCCAGAGAGAGCTGCACACATTTATGCACAGAGCAACAGTAGAAACTTTATTGATTAGGTTTAAATGTACATTGTCCAGACGTGGAGAAAGGACCGATCAGGATCTAACAGTAGCTGTGAATCTTACTTCATCTCAGAGAGTGAGAGAGAATCACAGTTTATATTCTGCAGTTTAATATTTTTTCGCATCGCGTTATTCTCAGAATGAGTCCTGCAGTATCAGTTTCACTGTTTGAAAAATCATAAATAAACAAGGCTGTTAGTTACTTGAACACATTTGTCAACTATTATTATTTTCGTTTTAGTCTGTTATCGCGTTATGTTTGATCCATCACTTGGTGTATTGACCAGTCTTATGTGACTGACAAATATCGTGTGTACTGTTGCTTTCTTCGGTAGTATGTGTGAATGCAGCCACGAGGAACATTAACAGTTAGGTGACCTCGATGTGAAAGGATTTGAATGACAGAATGCTGTGACCTTAACAGACTGAATAACCCAGAAATGTTCCATGTCACATGTCTAAAAGGGGCTTTGATAAAGTTTTCTCACAATGATCTCTTGAATGATCATCACCACAAGAACTCTTAATTATACACTTCTATAATGTCCACTTATATGAAGAAGAGGCTAGTCTTCATCGTCTCTGCCCTGTAGTGGAAAAAAGGTCCTCCAGCTGCTGTCTGAAGTGCCGTGGCTGGAACACCTGCTATCCAGCCTCAGTTAAACATGAAATCTGAAGCTCTGTTTAAGTATTTCTCACTAAAATCCACTTCAGGAAACTGAAACAGAGAACCCAATTAGGTAGAGCTGCAAACTGAATTTATGTTTTAGATTTTTTTTTCAATGGTATTGTAAAAATATATACTGTAACATGACCATTTCTTTAATCATAGCACAGTACGATTACAGTGCTACATACATTCTTTAAAACTGAGTTTGTAGTTGTGTTGAATTGCGACTGTTGTGTGAGCTGGATGGTATGTTGTCACTCATTATGTGGCAATCTGTTAAAGTCTTTTTTTTTTTCTTCCCTCTTTTACCAAACTGACAGAAACCAGATGGACTCATTTTTCCAGACAGGGCAACTCTTTATGTGACTGCCATTGAAGACAGGCAGTACAAGGACTACAAAATCCACTGTGAGTAGTTGGTTACCCAACCAAACATGAACCTGTGAAAAGCAGTGTTTCGCCATTCATAGGATGCCGTGTCCATCTGTATACTGTATAGGAGCACAGAGCTGGCTTTTCTCTCATAACATGCTTAAAGGCCAAAGTAACCTTACCAACCAAAAGACTGATATTATAAATGGTGGTTGTAATATACATGTTTGTGACTGGTCTCTGTCTATGTCTTGGTGTCAGGGTGGGAGAACGTGTATGGTTTCGATATGTCGTGCATTAAGGAGGTGGCAATTAAGGAGCCCCTGGTTGATGTGGTGGATCCCAAGCAGCTGGTCAGCAACTCGTGTCTCATCAGGGTAGGTGCCTGAATATCTGTTTTGATAGTGGTATGCTGCTTAAATGACACTGGCAAAGTTGTGTATCTATCTTTGATTGCAGAGGTGTTAACACTGGTTTCTTTCTCTCTAAATTCTTTTCTCTCAGAATTTGTGAAATTGAATTATTCTGTGTCAACCTATTACTGTGTTTGTTTAGGAGGTGGATATCTACACAGTGAAGGCGGAGGACCTGACCTTCACCTCACCGTTCTGCCTGCAGGTGAAACGGAATGATTACATCCATGCTCTGGTCACCTACTTCAACATTGAGTTTACCCGCTGCCACAAGAGGATCGGCTTCTCCACCAGTGAGTCTACTTCCCTAACACAATACAACTTTTGTCTTCTTACAGTCAAACTAATTATTAGTCAGGACTGGTTTGATACCATTCAAGCATTGTTAACCCATATATACTGGTCTGAGTGGCTCTGCATAACTTGATAACTGGGTACTGCTACTCTAGTAACTGGGTGGGAGCAGTGTGCCGGAGTTTTGATACCACTATTAGCCTCATGAAAAACACTAATATTTAGGGATGCACACTACTGTATGTCCATAGGTCACATAGGTCTCTGACAAAGAGGAATATAAAATTCTCAACTTTTGTTGTGATAATGAAATCATCAGCAGCTACATGTAAAAGCTGCAACTGCAAAAAGTCTAAACAGCCGAACATCATTAAAGGCTGAGGAATGCCTGTCCCTCCCTTGTTTTGTTTTGTTGGAGCTTACATATTTTTTTTACTGTCTCTCCAGTTGGGGCAAACTGCTGCCCTTCTTGAGTCATAAAAGCAATATTAATATTTGTCAGATCTCCAGTGATTGCCCTTCCAAAACGCTGACAAGGAGAGTGCGCTACTTGCACAATCTAGTTCTTAAAAACAGACCAGTGTTGCAAACTTGAAACAGGGGTTATCAATGGAAATCCGATTTTGGACAGGTTAAAGGTGGATGGTAATTGTAAAATCCACTCAACCTTAAAACTGCAAGTGTCTTTAGACATTCTGAAATCAAATTCCATATACAGTGCCATGCAAAAGTTTGGGCACCCCTGGTCAAAATTCCTGTAGATGTAAACAATTAAGCAAGTGGAAGATGAAATGACCTCCAAAAGGTACAGACGACACATTCCCTGTACATTTTACACAAAATAAATTTTTATTGTCATCTTTTACAGTTTCAAAATAACAAAAACTGGGCGCCACTATAGCTCACCTGGTTGAGCTGGCGTCCCATGTACAGGGGGTGAAGTCCCCGACACAGGGGTCGTGAGTTCAAGTCTTGCTCGTGACCCTTTGCTTCAGGTCCTTCCCCATTCTTCTCCCCCACTTTCCTGTCTCTAGCTTCACTGTAATATCAAATAAAGGCAAAAAGGCCAAAAAAAAACAACAACTTTTCAACTTCAGCTATTTTACAGATGGTGTTATGTTTGCTTCCAGAATTTGTTGGAATTTAATTGAATCCATTCTTTCCTTGACCCTTGAAATGTTCCCCGTGCCACTGGCTGCAATACAACCCCAAAGCATGATCGATCCAACCCCATGCTTAACAGTTGAACAGGTGTTCTTTTCATGAAATTCGGTGCCCTTTGTTGGCCAAACATACCTTTGCGGATTCCGGTCAGAGTTCTATTTTAACCCCATCGGTTCACAGGACTTGTTTCCAAAATGCATCAGACTTGTCTAAACGTTCTGAATTTGTTGGTGAGGACGCAGGAGAGGTTTTCTTCTGATGACTCTTCCATGAAGGCCATATTTGTGCAGGTGTCGCTGAACAGTTTACCAGTGTACCACAACTGACTAGCGTCTGCCAAATCTTCCTGGAGGTCTCTTGCAGTCAAACTTGGGGTTCTGACTTGCTTTTCTAGCAATCCTACGAGCAGTTCTCTCTGATATTTTTCTTGGTCTTCCAGACCTTGTCTTGATCTCCACTGTTCCTGTTAACTACCATTTCTTAACTACATTCCTAACTATCGGGACCCGAAAACACTTAGCTATCTTTTTATAGCCTTCTCCTGCTTTGTGGGCATCAATCATTTTCAGTTTCAGAGTTCTAGACAACTGCTTAGTGGAACCTGTGGCTGCTGATTGTTGGGACAAGGTTAGAGGAGTCTGGGTATTTATAAAGCTTTGTAACTTGCATCTGCTGGTCTTTCCTAACGATGATTGTGAACAAGCCATGACGCTAACAGGTTAATTAGATCTGACACCTTGGTCAAAGTTATCTGAGAGCTCAGGTCTCCTGGGGTTCCCATCTTTTGCAGGGTGCTGCTTTCATGTTTTCAGTCAAAAATTGTACAAAACAAAAGTAATACACTGATATTGCTTAAAATATTGTTCAACCTTATGCCTTTTGGAGATTATTTCATCTTCTACTTGCTTAATTGTTCACATTAACAAAATTTTTACCGGGGTGCCAAAACTTTTGCATGCCACTGTAACTAGGGTAGTGTTACCTCAGTGGTTACTAGTTGGAAGGTCAGATGTAAAGCCACAGCACCACCAAGCTGCTGCTGTAGGGCCCCTGAGCAACGCCCTCAACCCTATCTACTTAAACAAATATGTGAAGAAGAATCTGTGCTGAACTGTCAGTCAGCTGTCATTCAGATGTGAAGAGTGTGTAAGTATTAATAAATTAGGCACTAAATACACAGATTGTGGACACAAAGTCAATATAAACTGCAGTGCACTTTTACAGATGAACCATTTGTGTAGTAGTCCTGGCCTATGGTGATTTTTTTTATTTTTTTTATTTTATTTTATTTTTTTTTTAATTTACATCTAGACTGGGTTTAAATGTGTGTACAGAATTTGAAGAATTCGGTTTTAGAATTCAACCTGTGTCCTTGCACACTTCTTCTCCCTGTAAGGCCCAGAGTCTCCGTACACCCACTGGAAGCAAACTGTCTTCTACCTGGATGATTACCTGACTGTCAAGACTGGTGAGGAGATCTTCGGCACCATCAGCATGAAGCCTAACGTCAAGAACAATGTAAGCGGATCAAAGCTCAACAAGAACTTTGAAGTTTTCTTTTACTTGTTGCTTATTTTAAATTTATATATTTAATATTTTCTTACTTCATTTATTGACTGTGTGTCTGTGTGTGTTGACTGACATGTTTTCTTGATTTGCAGAGAGACCTGGACTTCACCGTAGACATCGACTTCAGGGGTCAGCTGTGTGAGATGTCAAAGACATCAGAGTACAGGATGCGTTAGAAGTTAGAATTCCTATCTCCCCCCACTTCCCCCATGTTAGTTTATCTTTAGAGTTCAGAATATACAGATGACTGGGAGTCTGTACAGTAGCTTGATGCTCCCCTGCAGTTACATTGTCATTTTCGTGTTCAAACTTTAACAGCATTTAAAAGGTTTTACCATCCTGGGGTTCAAAGTGCATTGGCGTGGTGATTCATTGTGCAGTAGTCACTTAGCAAAATGTGTCTTTGACATGTACCTTGTGTTTGTGTCCAACAGCTTATTGGGATTTGCTATTTGGTTTTTGTTCTTTTGCATGTGCAAGATCAATATAGACAGAAACATGGACCATTCCCACTGTTTGACAACTATGGTGTTCATCAATAGTTTCCTGGTTTAAGTGAACTCCAGGGTTGTTAATGCTAGGGGTTTCCCCCTGAACATGTTATTTTGAACAGCAGTTAGTACTAAGTAAACCCAAACTGAGAAACTCTGTTCAAAGTTAAAGAGTTGTGTAAAAACAAATAGCTAAAAGTCAAGGCCAACAATAGAGATGGCACACGCAGAAAACATTTCTGTTTCAAACATCAGCAGTTGTGACTCTGGGAAGTAGCTGCATGGAATGTAGCTGTGTCTCAAAGCCATACTACATATTCATTCTACATAGTATGTGTGACAAAGTCTTCGTAGTATTGTTTTAGCACGTTGTATACCCAATATCAACATAATTTACCATTTCATAATAGATGATACATGTGATTCCAGATGTAAATCAAACTGCAACTACTGCCAATAAAACATCACGAATAAAAAAAAAAGAAGTTTTACATCTGACAATAAAAACAGCTTTCTTTAAACCATTTGCAATTTATGTTAATGTTTTTCAGCTGCAAGCAGCGTCTCAATTTACTTTGTGTGTTCTGTTTTGGGAGGATAGCGAGCAACGACATGCGTAGAATCAGTATGTAGTATGTATTTGGGACATGGTGCACAAGAGATGCTGCGTACACTCAGGAAGTTGATCCCAATCATAATCACACTGGGCCTACATCAGGTGGTAGCTGTTTGTAATGCACTAGCTTTTTATTTGGCCTAAATCAGACCACATATTTTTGAGAAAAGCACCGTTCAGCAGGTTAAAGGGCCGCTTTCGGCTGGAATTAACAAAATAAGGTGGCCTGATAGGATCAGGCCCTGAGGCTCCACAGCTGTGTCAATTCTCTTCAAAGTCTGTGTTTATCTTGATACAATGTGTCTGAGGCTGCTTGAGTGAACATAAATGGTCGTACCTATGTTGGCATCCTGCAGAAACAGTTCTGACTCCTCACACTTGATTTTTCTCTCATATTGTTTTTGGCTGCTGCGTTTTTTGTTTTTTGTTTTTTTTTAAATAAAACTAATAAACTGTAAGTGTAAGTTTTCTTTTATTTGATACAAGGTGTTTAGAGCAGTGTGGTGTTCCACCAACAGCATCTTTGTGCAAGGTTTCTGACCGTGCTGTTTATGTTCATTGCCACATACACCTGAGATCGTGCAGTGCAGACCGAGCACACCCTCTATGTGGGGGCAGCCAGTGCTCAGACAATAGCGCAGGTTATCCACTATTCAAAAGGCTGATGGTTACACTGACCAGCAAGTCAATTTTAGATGAATGATATGAAGTGCTTCTCAATGACCTTACTTTTTTTTTTTTTAAGGTCTGCACCTGCATTTTGAGCTTCAGTGAATGAAGCTGTTTAAGGTCTGTCTGATGCATAAAGTCGGCTGACCTTATGCTGAGACTATTTTCACATTGTCTCCCCAAGTTGAACATGAAAACTGCTCCCAGTTTAGTCGTTGATCTGTACTCATTATGGGAGACCGCTCATTCTAACATTTCCCACAGACTTTGGATTGCCTTGCAGTCTGGATCTGACTTGGCCCCCACATTGCAATTGTTACTCGTAGATTCAAACTAAGAAAACAATCTAAGAAGAGTATCCTAAAATATATATGTTCATTTTGAGTTTGAGTATATTACTACTACAACGATGCTGTGTACTCAGTCTAGATCAGTACACACAACCACAATTGTATGGAAGACTCCGGACTTAGAAGTTGTCAAGAAAACGATAATTGACACCCTCCACATGGAGGGTGGACCACAGAAGGTCATTGCTAAACGCTGACTGTTGACACAGTGCTGTACCAAAGCATATTAACTGAAAGTTATCTGGAAGGAAACAATGTAGTAGAAAAGGTGCACAAGCAACATGGATGACTGCAGCCATGAGAGGATTGTCAAAAGTCGATTAAAGAACTTAGGAGAGCTTTATAAGGAGTGGATTAAGGAGGATGTCAGTGCATCAAGAGCCACCAAGCACAGATGTCTTCAGGAAAGGGGTGACAGCTCTCGTATTCCTAACATCACACCACTCCTGAACCAGAAACAACATCAGAAGCGTCTTACCTGAGCTAAGGAGGAAAACAACTGCACTGTTGCTGAGAGGTGTTCCATGTCAGCTTGGCTAGCATCCTCCTCCTACACCCCTGGAGTCCAGAGAGCAGTCCAGAATAGAGCTGCCCCCCCTGATCTGTTTGTTCAGTCTCCTTCTATCCCTGTTGGTGCTTCCACATCTCCAGTAAACCACTGCCTAATAGGCTGCAAATGGGAAGATGGTTTTTTTTAAATTTTTTTTTACATTTGTTAATATAAAATTTCCGAGGTATACTTTAGAGGTAAGTGTTAAAGTACTTAGTAGGTAATTACATGAATGTCTGTAAGTTAACATTTAGCTTTGACTAACCACTGTTGGTAGAACATGTTCTAACATTGTGATTGAAAATTTGTTAAGCAAATCTAAGCTTACATTACCAAATTTAGTGAATGAAAAAGGAGTTTGTCAATGTTGTTATTAAGCTGTTAGCTGTAGCTAAAATCCATGTGGATGAGTTTGTTAATTATGATGAAACTCTAGTTTTATTAACTGTTGTCATCTCAGTGTGCTGTTAGTTCATGAACAGCAGACCAGCACATAGCGATTAGCTCATTAAACTAAGTTAACATCACACCACAGAACACTGGTGCAGAGTAACATGTTTTCTCTCAGTTAAATGACTGAACTACAGTCATTTACAGTATGTATTATTAGTATGTGGTTGTTTGTAGCATCAACTGGAGGCTATTTTTAGCAGGTCCTTTTTATTTCATTACCGATGACTGGATCAAAAACATCTCCTGAAATAATTCTTTTTCTCTTTTAGAAGAAATAATGGTACTGAAGCGCTAATTATCATCAACCCACACTTTACCACAGGATAGTTACTTCTCTATTCTCTATTTAATGTACAAAAAATCATAAAAAACAAAAACAAAATAAAAATAAAAAAAACGCATCATTAAAATGAGACAAGAATTCTATGGATGAAAACTACACAAATGTCTTTGGTTTTGTCAGCTTAAACAACAAAATAAATCAAATGGCAATAACAACACAATTATAATTAAAATGGGCATTATTTAGATAAAATGGTTACCTTCTTGCTCTAAAAATATCCAGGTTTTAAAGCAGTGCTTAAAATTATAATCCTGCTGCTGCGTTTCCATAATAAAGCTCATCCCTCCCTCCATCCTCACATCCTACAGTACTTCTGATGCAGTGCATTTTTCTTTTTGCATGTTTTTGTTATTTGTTGCATCCCTGCATTTGGACTGCATTTGTGTGTTCACATGTGTATGTGCTATGTCCCTAGGGGGCACTGTTGTTCTATATTTAAAACAAATCCTTTTGATTGGACTGTTGCACAACATCATTTCAGAGTGAATGTATTTGAAAAAAAAAAAAACTTTATTGGAAAAAACAATGGGCTCTTTACAGAAACTGAAAGACATTTGTGTTTACATTCTTAATTAAACCACTGATAGGATAGTAATAAATCTGTCCAATAAGAGCCTTCGTACCTCCAGTAAATATTAGCTTTCATGTGTATCAGGGTGTGGTCTCCCAGCATCTCTGTCTTCTGTAAAGATCAAAGGTTGAACTAGCAGGGTGTGATGATGGGCAGGGACTGCCGGTCACTGGCTCCTCCTCTGGTGAGAGGGGCTTCTGTCTCAGCAGGTCAGAGGTCATGAAGAAGAGAAGGGAAGGACCTTTTGCTACCTTGCTCTCGTGGCAGCAGTGGCGTGGGGCCAGCAGCAGCTTTTCATGCAGCACTTGACTCATTAGCTGATCCTCCTGCACATTAATGCTAACCAGTGAGGTGAAGAGAAGCTGAGAGCGAGAGACATTTACCACTATGGACACAAAGCAAGGGAGAGAGGAGGGGGGAGAGAAATAGAACACAAACTTAAATAAGGTTGTGGAATACAAAATAGATATGGCTTAATATTAGTGTTGTGCAATATACTGATACTAGAAAGGTGTCACAATACCCTGGTATTTAAAAATGGTACTACACCGCATTCTATTAGAACTGATACTTAGTAAGATACCAAGAATTGCAGTTTTTTAACATCACATTAAGTCATTGGCTCATTGTGTAATAGTAGGGTGTGTTTGCAGCGTCCAGCAGTCACAGAACAAAAGACACCTTACACCTGCTCTAATATAAGTCAAGTCATGTGATTGTTTAGTAAAAGGGCAACTTTTTTTTCCACTAGAGTTTGACAAGGCAAGTAGGGACAATAACAAATGTTTAATGTGGCTTTATCTTTTTTGCTTACTTAAAAAAAATAGCCAGGGCTGTGTGCTGAGCCCCCTGCTGAGCACACTCTTCACACACATCGGAATTTCAGTTATTTGCCAGAGATCCTTATCATCGGCACTGATGATCTGCATCCTAGTCCTTGTTTAATTCCTTATCAATTCATGTTAAGTCCTATGTGAGACACCTGGCTATACAAGAAATATCATTTCTTATTGGACTGCACTGATTTTAATGACCTTACACTGGCTGCCCATTTGTTTCAGGACTGATTTTCAGATTTTATGTGCTACTTTGGCCCCAGAAAATATATCAGAACTACTGTCCCCTTACCAACCATCACAGCCTCAGAGCCTCAGGCAAGAACCTGCTGGCTGCTACACCTGATGCTTGAAGTCTACAGAGGGCCAAGTATTTGCCGTTAGAGCTCCCTGGCCACCTGCCTGAAATACTCTGGCCTGTTAATTTGGTATTCTCCTTTAAATTACTGTAGAAGCCTGATTTGTCTTACTTTTTCACTCCTGTCTTTTCCTTGTGTGATGCTAAGGATGCACACAGCAGTATAAAACAAACAGGTGAGGAGAGAGTAAACAAGTAGTCTGGGTATCTTTTTTATTTTATCCTTTTTTAAGAGAAATGAGATCACCTTTACACTGAGTCTTTCTATTTAGATATGTTGTGGATATATTGTAAAGTCATTATGTAATAATCGTGGGTATGAGAATGTCTTGTATTAAGCAAGTTAGTAGCGTACACATATGTTGTAGGTAAACTGGAAAATAAAAACAGGTAAACACACCTTTCTATCTCATGCATGGGAATTTTCAGGTTTATAGAAATGGATATTCTTTTATAATAGCACTGACTGGACAGATTAAAATAATCAAATGAATAACAATGACAAATGGTCTGCACTAGTGCTTAGTGCTTTTCTACATTGGTGGTATTCAAAGCGCTTCACAATGTTTCTCATTCACACCCATTCACACACCAATGGCGACAGAGCTGCCATGCAAGGCGCTTGCCTTTCATTGGGAGCAACTTCAGGTTCAGTGTCTTGCCCAAGGACACTTCGACTGTGGAGGGGCCGGGGATCGAACCGCCAAACTTGGGATCAGAGGTCAAATGCTCGACCACCTGAGCCACAGCCGCCCAATAAAATGAAAATAATTATTTCTATTAGGTAAGATCAGTGCTAAAAACATGCAATGAAATTGAAATTATTTGTAGCCAGTAGAAGACATTTTTAGCTGTATCTTAAAGCTAACTGTGTGACTGAAACATGTTCTCTCCTGCTGACTGAACTCTGCAAAAGATGATGAGTAAAAAGATATAACGTCACTGGTCTTCATTTGTCTAATTCTGAGATATTCAATTTATCTACAAGAATCTAGTCTGAGTGGTTGCTTTCACAGACCATCCATTATCTATACACCGCTTAATCCTCACTAGGGTCGCGGGGGGCTGGAGTCTATCCCAGCTGACTTAGGGTGAAGACAGGGGACACCCTGGACAGGTCACCAGTCTATCACAGGGCTACACTTAGAGACAGACAACCAAGCACACTCACATTCACACCTACGGACAATTTAGAATCACCAATTAACCTCAACATGTTTTTGGACCTTGTGGGAGGAAGCCGGAGAACCCGGAGAGAACCCACGCTGCACGGGGAGAACATGCAAACTCCACGCAGAAAGATCCCGGTGCCCCCACCGGCGACCTTCTTGCTGCGAGGCAACAGTGCTAACCAACTGAGCCACCTTGCAGCCCCTTTCACAGACCAGTTGCGTTGAAACAACTCTTTAAAAAAAAAAGGGGGAAAAAAAGCATTTAATGTTAAGCAACATTATTTATCTCTAATGAGAACATGAATTAGTTTTACTTATCTCAGGATTAGAGAACTTTCTTCATGTTTGCGATTTCAAGATACAAATTCCTGGATGCTCGGTAACCTAATGAGTACATAACTACAGCGTCCACAGTTCAACTCTTCTCTGGCTGGAGTGGCATGTTACGGATAAGACGTCCTTCACAACAGAAAACCCGATTACTGGCTGACCCAGGGAGCAAATGAGAAGTTGCCTGTGTGCGTTACCTTCAGCAGCTCTGGCACTGATCAGGTTTTTGGTCCTCTCTGACCTCTGTAGAATCTCCTGAATGGCCTTCTGGGAGTTAAACTCAGCCCCCTGCAGAAAAACTGACAGGTGACCATGGTAACCAGATGCTAACGATTGGTAATGTGCTCAGTGATGATTTAATGATAACCTATTAATAAACACTGTGAACCTGCAATGACTGGAGCTCTGCTTTCAGAGTCAGAGTCGTGTTTAATTCCACCCTCTCCAGACACCCTGGATCTTCACTGGATGTTGCAACCAGAGGCTCCGGCAACTGTCTGAGGGTTCCTCCAAGCACTGAAAAATAAGAAAAAAAAAGCTTTTATTGATAATTTAATTCATCTGAGACAGACCGACTGACGAGAAGAAAATACAAATAAATATACTAAACTCTACTGAAGACAACAAAAGCCTCTTAACTGTAAAAAAAATCTTTGTTAGCTAATGTACAGAAAAGTTTGAGTATTTAAGGATTTGATAATACAGTCAGAAATTTACAATAAGACTCAGATATGTTGTTGGGGGGGTGGCTTTAAACTTTAACTCTGCAAATAAATGTCATTAAATTTAATTACACAGTGGGTAAAATCAAATGTTTTATGTAATTTAAAATGCATCATTAAATGACATTATTATAGAAGCCAAACAAACACAGATGTGGCAGAAATAGAACGCTGAAATGTATTCATATACTTTTGGATTTATTCAAACACTGTCAAACCATGACCATGCTGTACTCTGCTTTTCCTCTGATCTCGCACTGGCTGCTGAAGTGGGGTGTCTCTTCTCAACGTGATGTGAGGCTCCAGTGTTACTGTGACCACCTCTGGATCTTCAAAACACACCTTTTGGGAGACCAAATGAGAGAGTGATGATGATGAAAGTGAGAATGAGGCAATCAAATACACATCAGGACTACAGGATAATGTTATCCACACATATACACCTGCACAATCATAGCCATAACTAGAACCCAAAGCCTTGCCCTTATCTTAAGGCTAGTGGGATAATCCTAACCACCCCAGGAAATATAAAACATATTTGACATTGTTAGGCAAACTCAAATAAGTCTGTGGGCAGATCAGGGCGTTTCACACTGGATCTGTAAACCTCTCACATTAGCAAATAATCTGGGTCCACCACTAGGTCAAACCAAGGTCCATGCCCACTTCTCCAATCGTCTGAAGTGGTAAAATGGAGGCAAATCAGCCCAAAACGTCTGCAGTTCTAAACAGTGTCCCAAATCCCCAGAAGATCAGTAAAAGAAGTACACATTGAGGTTGGGTATCATTTGTATTTTCTAATCAAGGAAAACAAGCGCAATCACGGGTTTCTTTTCAGCATTTCAGCCAGGCTAACAGAGTTGCAGGTCTGTGCTCTGACCCTTGCATTCCTTTAGCTCTCAATAGTGGCAACTTCATGAGCTACTTCACAATAAAATCCTGACTATCAAAGAAAAAGTTTCACACCAGATCAGCCACTCTTTATTACAGGCTATGTCCTAGAGGCTTTCAAGTTAGCTGCAATTAAAGCTCTTGAGTTTTAGCTGAATCTCAGTGCTGCATTAGACACAGTTTATCACAACATTTTATTAAAGAGACTGGAACACATCATTGGGACTAAAAGAACTGCACTTGGCTGATTTCAATCATATTTATCAGATAGGTTATCGTTTATTCACGTCAATGATGGCACAAAGAGAGAAACAGGAAATTGGGGGGAGGACGTATGGGAAAGGGCCATGAGCAGGATTCAAACTCATGACCTCCACATCAGGACTGTAGCCCTGTACATGGGACTCCAGCTAAACCAGGTGAGCTAGAGCAGCACCACTTTGTTTGGTTTTTGACGATAAAGCCATATCCAATAAGTTTGTCAGCAGATAGAAGCACAAAGAGCTCTAAAATCTTCTGGTAGATGGCTGCATTGACTCTGGATTGATATTATATGCATAACAATCACTGGAGACATTTTCTGCTGAGAGTACTTTTACTTTTAATAAACACAACTTGACAGCCTCCCAGCTTTACAAGCTAGTGGGTATTTTAGTGAACTGGAAAGTTTTGACAGGGAAACCAATTCCTCCAGTCGTCCATCTTAGATGTTTTTAAATTCTGCTTCATCACTGCCACATCCTATATAAAGATAAACATGTATTTTTGATGGAAATATCTTCACAACAATCAGGAAATCCTTGTGCGTTGTGCAGCTAACGTGGTGAATGTTGCCATTAGTTTGGATCGTATGCCCACTGGTCAGAGCTCTGTGGAAATTGCAATATTGAGGAAGAGTAGAATATGGTGGAAACTTTAAGAACGATTTGAAATCAATAAATAAGGACTTAGTGCATTCATTTGTTTTCATGTTGCCTGTTGTGCTTCTGTGCAGCTTTAGCAGACCCAGTGTTCACATCTATTTGCATCTGTCCTACTTTCTCCGCACACATACACTGTATTTTAATACAGTCAAATTCCGAATGAAGCTGTTCTCATCAACCCTTTTTAGACATGGGTGTCATGACTGGATTCATCCATCCATCAAAGTTATTCTTTCACTTAGACATGGGTCACTTTTCCGTTACTGTTTTACAGCTTCATGCAGACATGTCCCCCACATTATCTGAGAGAACCACAGTATGCATGCGATATTTATTTTCACATGAGGGTAGATGATACACCAAATGATGTATAATACACACATGGACAAAATTGTTGGTACCCCTCAGTTAATGAAAGAAAAACCCACAACGGTCACAGAAACAACTTGAATCTGACAAAAGTAATAATAAATAAAAATTCTATGAAAATTAACCAATGAAAATCAGACATTGCTTTTGAACCGTGGTTCAACAGAATTATTTTAAAAAACAAACCCTTGAAACAGGCCTGGACAGTCTGTTAACCCTGAAATGAAGGAAACTGAGTTTTCTGTTTCACAAAGGGAGGTAACTTAAAGCCTCGGTCAGTTACCGTAGTAACAGACTCTATGAAACTAACCTGGTCGGGACCAGATCTTTCTCAATAAACCTCAAATTTCTCTCCGTCTCTGCCCTCTTTTAGCCACACACGGTATTTGATTTCGTCATTCATTCATTCAGTCAGCAGGCAAGTTTTGGCGTAGCCTAGTTATGCCTTCTGTCAAAAATTCATTAAAAAAAAAAATCAGTCAGAAGCTATATTAGAAGTCCATTGGGCACAGTAGGTGGCGACTTTTTTCACTAAAATGGCATGTTCTTTTAATAACAATCCCGTGGATGAAGGTGCAGCATTACTGAGCAGAGAATTAAATATTCATCAGGAGATGGTTACAGTTTTGAGCGGTACCATTTCACGTCACAGTCATTATCTACATACAATCTAATCTATCCTCACATGTGCAGCATCACCAACTGTAGTGATGGTCCTACATCCCAGCAGATATTGTGTGTTGCACTGTGTTTCTTTGCAAATGGAAGTTTTTGTGCAATGAGGGAGATGCAGAGCACCTGAGTAAGGCAACTGTATGCAGGGCCATGTCAGAAAAGTGTGCCTCGCCCTGAAACGGCCTTTACCCATCACTGTGGTTTTCCCTGGACATAAACCTGTCAGAGCCATCAAGGAGGAGTTCCACAGGATTGCAGGTGAATGATGTAGAAATCTGTTAAATTAATTTTAAATTACATTCTATAAATGCCCTCCGTTTCCCCGTTGCCATGGTGACTTGTCAAATTGGGGCTCTACTGATGCTGGCTTTTTATAATTGTGGTGCATGTGCTTAACTCCAGGTGAAACTACTCCGAGTTGATTAAACTAACTCAAATCTGCTGTTCTGGAACTGGAAACTCAAGAGTTTCCTATCTCAGAGTAGATCAACTCAAGAGTTCAGGATTAGAGTCAGAGTTTGTTGAACCTGCTTTGTGAAACGGACCCCTGGACTACTGGATGATGTCTGCATGCATGTATGCACCCACAAACCAGCACTACAGGATGTCATTACCTGTGTGTTCCTCTTTCTTGCCGTCTGTCCTCGGCAGTGAGGCTTCAGGTGTATTTGGTCGGCCCGCTGACTCTGCTGCACTCTGTGGGGCTTCGGCTGTGTATGGCCGGTCTTTGGGGTCGGGCTGAGTGTGGCCGAAAGGTCAAGTTCAGGACAGCAAGTCAGAGAGGAAGGGGAGAGTGGGAGAGGGGCAGGGTGAGGAGATGGGGAAGAGGAGTGGAGGGAGGAGAAACTCATCCTGACAGGAAACAAGAACATGTTTGTGCTATTTTTGTTTGTTGTTTTTTAAACAAATAAACAACCATAATCATCACAGATTTAGAAATAACAACCTGTGATAATTTTTTCTGGGACAAAATACGACACCGCACCAGAAACCAACACACACCAATATACAGAAAATTAAAAAATACATAAAGAAAAGAAAAACTCAGTCATGTAATACACTTACAGAAAACGTTGGAGTTACATGTTGGTAATTTTATTTTGAGTTGATGGAGTTGTCCTGTGTATAAAATACTGTTGTTTGAGTAAAAGTGAATTTATGTTCCATGTTGCAATGACATGATATTTTTGATCAACTCATTAGAGCAGGGGTCTCCAATCCTGGTCCTCGAGAGCCACATGTTTTAGATGTTTCCTTCTTCCATCACACCTGATTCAAATGATCAGCTCATCATCAAGCTCTGCAGAAGCCTGAAAACGATCCTGACCAGGATTGGACACCCCTGCTTTAGAGACTAATGACTTACAGCCAGTGTTCCCCTGTTAGAAACATGTCTGTGCCTCAAGTTTCTAGCAGAACATTTCTTTCTAAGCAGCATCATGACAGTGGAACTATGTCGATGTGTCACAGGTCAGATTGTTATTCTAAGCAAAGAGCATCTAATCATGGCTGGACTAAAGGTTTCCAAGAGGGCAGTGTAAACAGCTTTGAAACACTTTTTGAAAACTGGATCAGTTGTTTTTAACGATCCCCAAAGGATCATTTAAAAGATATACTGAAAGATATAAAAGCAGCTTCATTACAGCGACAGATTTGACTAAATAATGAACTCAAGAATCCAATCAGCAAAAGCTCTGTCCCAAGAGGGCTGTCTGGTAGTTTGTTGACAGGACAAAGGCCATCTCCAAACCATTTCTCAGAAGGGGAAACGAGGACAAACACTTGGGGTGGGCTAAGACGCTGCAGCTTTTCAGTGGGTGACTGCAGAATCTCAGGTAGAGATCAGTGGCAGGAACAGTATGAAAAGAGGCCAACAGGGGAGAGAATGATACCACTGTGAAAGATGCTGCTGGGAACATTATGGTGTGTTTTTTTTTTCTTTTTTACCTTCTCTAAAGTTGATTAACATACTTTACATTCAAGCTGTTTTATCCTGACTAGTGTTCTCAGACCTCTATACAAACTACGTTAACGTGTCACGTGGTCAGTATAGACCGTTAGCCGTTTAGTTAGCAAATGCATACAGACTTTAATACGGTAGCTTCTAACCAAAGATAGTTAACCATTCTGCTAAAAAAAAAGTAAAGCATANCATGTAGCCCTGTATCATCATGCAACCTACTGACTGTAGCCAGCTTGTTGAGCTGTGTCTTCCACACTATGAGTGTTTTAACCAAACCAGGGTCAGTGGTCGTGGCAGTGGCAGAGTATGTGTGTACAGGGAGAATTTTAAATGTCAATTAATGCATTTTAATGAATTTTCTTCCTTCTAAATTTCTCAGTTGATTTTATTTGCCGTTATTTATTGGCCCCCAAAACCTCCTGGTAGCTTTTTAGCAGAATTCCACGATTTTTTTTTATCCTCCCTTGTTTTAACTCATGATAGGGTAGTTCTCTGTGGTGATTTTAACATTCATGTTAATGACTCCACCAATACGCAGGCAGCTGACTTTTTAAACATCACAACTTCTTTTAACTTTAAACAGCATGTGTGTGGACCAACCCATAACCGGGGTCACACTCTGGACTTTGTTTTTACCCTGGGTGTAATTGTGGCCTCCTTAAATTTACTGGATTTTACTGTCTCGGATCTCAAATGTATAGTTTTTTTACAGTGAATGTCCAGTTTTTAATATAGCTCCTGGAGTACCCGTATTTTTAAGGAAAACAGCGCAGCAGAGTTCTGCACACTTTTTAATAGTAACTGCCGACAAACAGCCGAACATGCCGACACCAATGATCTGGCCAATCATTTTAATTCCGCCTGCTTATTCACCCTTGATGTCATTTCTCCACTGAAGCTCAGAACTAAGTCCTCAAATAAGAAGCAGCCGTGGATCAATGACAACATTCGCAACCAATAAAAGGGAATATAGGAAAGCAGCGCATAGATGGAAAAAATCAGGTCTCCAGGTGCAGGTTCTGGACCTCAGTGCTGCATTTGACACAGTTGATCACAACATTCTTTTAAACAGACTGAGGCACTGGGTGGGGATGTCGGGTACAGTTTTAGAGTGGTTTTTATCTTATCTATCTGGAATGACCTGAGGAGATCAGGTCGGCTGATTCTGTGCTCGCTTTTAAGTCAGTTCTTAAAAAACATTTTTACCGGAGAGCTTTTCCTGATTTTGAGTTTTATAGCTTCTTGTTCTATTTGTGTGCTTATCTTATTTCAATTTTAATTTCTTTTTTATTGGAAAGCACTTTTTAACATTTGTTTTGAAAAGTGCTCTATAAAGAAAGTTTATTATTATATTATAAAATACAGTCGCCCTTTTGCAGCTCTACCCTCTCTTCTTAAGCCCCGTCCATCAGACAAGCCCGGGCATACACTGGTGCTTTAAATGTGCAAAAATAGTGAGGTTAAAGTCACAAAGACATTGAACTTTCTACTCGGTTTAAATCCAGCTTTTGTGGGTGAAAGTCCTGTGCTGAACCTATTTAGCCACCATGTTCTATTCTCACTGCAGGCTTTGTTACTCTGAATACTGTCTCATCTGCTCTGGGTTTAAAGATCTGTCGTTGGCAGAACTCTTCTATCACAGGACACATTTACTTAAGCCTGAAGAAGTCAGTTTCCCCTCAGATAACTTGAATTACAATACGGTAAAAGGTTAGTATAGAACTTTTGACAAAGGACACCAAAACAAGCTTTAATGGAATTTGTGTTAAAATTAGGAATTTTTTTGAAATGACTGCTACCAAAGTTGAAAACTAACTTTCGGGGGAAAACAAAACAAAACAAAACAAAAAAACACTCTACAAAGTTACACAAGTCTTTATTGATCACATTACATGAAAGGACTGTTTAATAGACAACAGTTAGAGCAATCTAAAATTATTNGTTAGCCGTTTAGTTAGCAAATGCATACAGACTTTAATACGGTAGCTTCTAACCAAAGATAGTTAACCATTCTGCTAAAACAGTAAAGCATAACGTTACCTGGTGTCTGCAAACGGTCAGGACAGCTGCAGGGAACAGGAAGGAGATTCTTGCTGCCACCGTGTTTTCAACTGATTCCGTAATTAGCGACTAGTCTCCAGTAAACGTAGTCATTAGTAGATACGAAAGACTTTATGAACGGGCTTAGGTGTCTTGGTAGCTAACGTTAGCTAGCATCCGGCTGCTAATTGTTACCAGTGACAAGTTACATGTAGCCGCAGTCTGACGGGTCTGCCGAGTTTACTTGTGCTGTTTCGGATCAGTTTCACACAGAAGCTAACAAAAACATTAGAGCTACCACCAGCCCATCATTACCGCCGGGTTCCCTGTTTCATATCGATGACAAACCGACACAGCAGCACCAGGCTCACTGCGCTTCAACTAATCCGCCTCTTTTTTAAAATGACCTCCTCAGTCAAACTCTGTTCTGTTTCCGGGTTGTGTCCGTTTTTCCCTTTTTTTTTTCTTTTTTTTTTTTTCTAGTGTCTCCATTGGAGACATGAACTCTGGCCTAGATGAGATAACAGAGGCCTGTGATTCTTCTTCTCATGTTTTCTTGGACTGTTTCTGTGCTGTTTGAGGAAGGTTGGCTGCTTCCGGGAGGCTTCCTGTTCTGGCCTTTGTTTAGTATTTATGTCTCCCTGCTAGATGCTGCAGAGGTCTTCTCCTCTGCTGGTTATGCAGCAAGGTTGTGCAACAAAAGTCAGACTCATTCCTTTGTTTTATGGAGGATGCCAATATTACTGTTATATTCAGTAAGCATAAGTCCAGGCAGAGGGGGAGGAGTGGCAGCAATCTTCCACTCAAACTTAGGAATCAACCAGAGACCAAAACTTAGTTATAATTCATTTGAAAGCCTTAGTCTGAGTGTCACACACTTGGATTGGAAAGCACAAAAACCAGTTCTGTTAGTGGTAGTATATCGGCCACTGGCCCCCTACTCTTAGTTTCTATCTGAATTCTCAGCTACTCTCGATCAGAGGTTCTCAAAGTTTTTGAGCCACGACCCCCAAAATAACATAAGTTTGTGTTGGTGACCCCCTTATTTTAATTTTTAATATGGCACGAGTAATAACTTTGTTGTTCATGCATTAATGTGTTAAAAATTAATGTGTTAAAACCACAGATTGATCTCTTTACATTAACACGTTAATTTTCTTTTGAATGAAGGAATGAATAGAATTTATTTTTAACAAATGAAAGTGGAAAAAAATATAAAAACAAAAGAAAATAATTTTCAAAAGTGCAAAGCAGAATAATAATATTTCATAACCACATCATTATATTAACACGTTCGAAAAAGGAGTGGGAAGAAATATACACTTTTAATTTTGACAGCCCTAACACACATTTATTTGATAAATGTACGATTTATTTACTTCTTCTTCTTTTTTTTTTTTACAATGATCTGGTGATCTGGCGACCCCCTGAAATTATCTTGGGACCCCCATGGGGGTCCCGACCCCCAGTTTGAGAACCACTGTTCTATAGCATTGCCTTCGTCTCCTGTTCTACTGTAAAGAACCTTGAAGTTGTTTCGTTCAATAGCCACATAAAACAAGTTTGCTAGGACGGCCTTCTTTCATCTACGTAATATTGCAAAATCAGGAGCATCCTGTCTCAGAGTGATACTGAGAAACTCATCCATGCATTTATAACTTCTAGACTGGACTATTGTAATTCCTTATTATCAGAATGTCCCAATAACTCTCTTAAAAACCTCCAGCTGATCCAAAATGCTGCAGCCAGGGTTCTGACAGGAACCAGTAACAGAGATCATATTTCTCTTGTATTAACTTCTCTTCATTGGCTCCCTGTAATATCCAGGATAGAATTTAAAATCCTGCTTTTAACATATAAAACTCTCAATGACCAAGCTCCATTTTACTTTAAAAACTTTATTGTACCGTATCATCCTAACAAAGCCCTTTGCTCCCAGACTGCAGGTCTACTGGTGGTTCCCAGAGTTTCCAGAAGTAGAATAGAATAGGAGGCAGAGCCTTCAGTTATCAGGCTCCTGTCTTATGGAATCAGCTCCCAGTTTGGGTTCAGGAGGCAGACACCCTCTCTAATTTTTAAGGTTAGGCTTCAAACTTTCCTCTTTGATAAAGTTTATAGTTAGGGCTGCTCAGGATCACCTGAACTGTCCCTTAGTTATGCTGCTATAGCTTTAGACTGCCAGAGGATTCTAATGATGTACTGAGCTCCTCTTCTCTCCTCTCCTCTCTTCTTGTCCTGTAACCTTACTATGTTCAGCGTGATGTGATGACATATGTTGTAAACTGCTCTATACAAATAATATTGAATTTAATTTAATTCTGCCAAGTTTCTGCAGACAGAAAGTCATCTTGTCAGCCAGTATTTTGGTAGATCCACAGGCATTCATGGTGCCATGTGGAAGTGTCATCTTCCCAACACCTTTTGCATTCATGTAGCCCTGTATCATCATGCAACCTACTGACTGTAGCCAGCTTGTTGAGCTGTGTCTTCCACACTATGAGTGTTTTAACCAAACCAGGGTCATGGTCGTGGCAGTGGCAGAGTATGTGTGTACAGGGAGAATTTTAAATGTCAATTAATGCATTTTAATGAATTTTCTTCCTTCTAAATTTCTCAGTTGATTTTATTTGCCGTTATTTATTGGCCCCCAAAACCTCCTGGTAGCTTTTTAGCAGAATTCCACGATTTTTTTTTATCCTCCCTTGTTTTAACTCATGATAGGGTAGTTCTCTGTGGTGATTTTAACATTCATGTTAATGACTCCACCAATACGCAGGCAGCTGACTTTTTAAACATCACAACTTCTTTTAACTTTAAACAGCATGTGTGTGGACCAACCCATAACCGGGGTCACACTCTGGACTCTGTTTTTACCCTGGGTGTAATTGTGGCCTCCTTAAATTTACTGGATTTTACTGTCTCGGATCTCAAATGTATATTTTTTTTACAGTGAATGTCCAGTTTTTAATATAGCTCCTGGAGTACCCGTATTTTTAAGGAAAACAGCGCAGTAGAGTTCTGCACATTTTTTAATAGTAACTGCCGACAAACAGCCGAACATGCCGACACCGATGATCTGGCCAATCATTTTAATTCCGCCTGCTTATCCACCCTTGATGTAATTTCTCCACTGAAGCTCAGAACTAAGTCCTCAAATAAGAAGCAGCCGTGGATCAATGACAACATTCGCAACCAATAAAAGGGAATATAGGAAAGCAGCGCATAGATGGAAAAAATCAGGTCTCCAGGTGCAGGTTCTGGACCTCAGTGCTGCATTTGACACAGTTGATCACAGCATTCTTTTAAACACACTGAGGCACTGGGTGGGGATTTCGGGTACAGTTTTAGAGTGGTTTTTATCTTATCTGGAATGACCTGAGGAGATCAGGTCGGCTGATTTTGTGCTTGCTTTTAAGTCAGTTCTTAAAAAACATTTTTACCGGAGAGCTTTTCCTGATTTTGAGTTTTATAGCTTCTTGTTCTATTTGTGTGCTTATCTTATTTCAATTTTAATTTCTTTTTTATTGGAAAGCACTTTTTAACATTTGTTTTGACAAGTGCTCTATAAATAAACTATTATA